ATGGTAGAGAGATGATGGGAGGTATGAGCTCACTTTTTGATTTTTAGAAGGATGCTCCCCGGGCAGGGGCACGTCCGCACCGGCACACCTCGCCCACAAGCCGAAAGGAGGCTAAGGATCGAAGAAGGGGTCCCGCTCCCCACTGTGTGGCTGGGGCAGCCAACCTTCGAAAGGGGCAGCCTCTGTTGTCCAAGTTAGCGAAGAAACGCAGGCGACAATGGGCTGCTCCAGGAATGATACTTACTGCGGCTGACCCAATCGAAGGCTTTGCCCCAGAAGCTCCAGCCTGTCAAGGCAACTCCACCCAAGAGCAGAGCATCCAGGGCCTTTTGCAAGGCCCATTTTTTCACCTCACGAAGGAGAAATGGGTTCAAGAAGAAATAGTGCAAGCAGACCGTGTTGTTCCCCGTACCCGGGGCTGCGCCGTAACAAATGTCCTAATTATATTAGACATAGCTACCACTAGTCAGCATCGACCACAGTTTTTCACGGCTTTCATGCGTTCAGGGGCACGAATTTGAGATAAGGAGCAAGAAAAAACTCCTCCAAGAAGCCATGATAGAAGAAATGGTGCAGAAGGAGTGGTATGTCATGAACTCGAGCGGCTTTGATTGACGGGAAACGTGGTAGAGGTATAGTGCAGCTTCGTTTGCAGAACTTTAGACGAAAGAAAACATGAGAGTGATAGAGGCAGTGCGATATGACATCGTCTGGAGCTGGAGTATGACAAAATGAACCGTACTGACCGAATGCTGCTGTAAAGATGTTCGTGAAGGGAAAGAAACATAGTATTCCGGGGGTGAACGAGTATATACCTACCTCTGGCGGCCGTACCTGCTCTTCACATTGGTCCACCATAACAGTTGCAGTAAACAAGGAAACTGGAAAGAGCAATACTCAACTACCCACCCACATCGCGACTGACATCTGATCTCTCAGACGAAGAGGTCGCGTTCAAGGAGAAAGGGACTGGAGCTCCTGTCGTAGAGGAGGGTATTGATTCTGGAGATGTGATAGGCGGTAATCTAGCTTAAAGGCCGAATCAAAGTATTTCTTCTACTTCACACAGATCTCCTATTGGGTGACGAAATTTGCGGGCTTTGTATTCGCCCTCAGGCTCCTTCCCGCCCGGTGGTTCTTCGCCTACGGAATCTGGAAGTAGGTGCTCTTAGCTGTTGGTAAACAAACATCGCGTACTTGCACTTGCAAGAAATGAAGCTAAACTGGAAGCACAATCTGTGAGATTGCGTAGAAAGCACGAAGGAAATCGTCGAACTGCAAAAGGCGGCAGAATCTTGCTTCTTTCAAGCCGCTTCGGGAAGCTTCATTCTCACGATGGTGGTAGTTGAGTTCATGGCTCCAAAGAGTAGCCAGTAGCGCAAAGGGCCCAAGCGTGAGTCTGCAATTCATTCAGAATCATTACTTGCAATCGTCGCGGTTGTGGGTCTTTTGAGGATGCGTGTCGAGCGGAGAACTACACAGGCGATCATGAAGCCCAGGTGCGTCACAATTTGACTGACAAGGAGGAGGATGCAAGTATGCCATAGCCAGCAATAGGGGACGGAAACCGTAAGGGGTTATACTGTTGGCGCTGGGTGCGCTGACTTAGGATACATAAGCAGTAAAGTTTTAATTTTATTAGTTCTTAATACATTAATAGCAAGATAAAGCTAGCCTTTAATATTATACGTAGCTAGCGTTATTGTCTCTTTTAATAAGTAACGCGCTAAGTTAATCTTTTTTACCTCTTTATATTATATGAAGTCTAGCTATACTTCTCTAAGCTTAGTCTATAGCTGCTTACCCTACACTTAAACTCCTTATTTCCTAATCTTTGTTAAGATAGATTATGTCCTTCGCAAAAGACAAGTACCTATGTTAGACGTCTTGCGCATCTCTCTATTCGCTTTCTAGTTTTGTTTCAGTTTAGTGAAGCAAAGACGAACGGCGAGTCACAGCTTGTTCATTAGTCATGAATACCACCAAAGTTCCCTGCGGTACGAGCCCAGACCACCCCACACAGATATATATTAGGGGCCTCTGCAAGCGCCCTTCCCATTTCTTCTTCCTGTTATCACACTACTGGCATCGAAACCCATCTTCCATCTCAATCACACGACCAAAAACTACTAATATCCATCATCTTCACGACCGTGCCGACTATAACAACGTCACCACTTCGAGCACTTCGAAATCCAGGTGAACATAAAGCATACCATTATTGCTTGTGATGTCCCTTGGGACCCTGACTTCGGTTCAACCCTCTCTACGTGGTGACCGACTTCTTCTGCGCCGATCCGCTAAAGCAACACCTCTTCTACCGTGAGAGCGCAATAGGTTGAAAGCAACATGTCTTCGTCTATCTTTTGCAAGGCACGTAGCTCGCTTGCCAGAAGAGTAGCACCTGTCACCCTGTTGGAAGCATCGAAGTTTAGTCAAGCAATTGAACAGCCGCTTCGTTCTGCGCTACCCCTAACACGGTATTTACACACTCAAATACCGGCGAACGAACCTTCCAATTGCACTCGTCGTCCGCAACGAAGACCAGAAGCAATGACTCGGTTGCGACGGTTACCAGGCTACGGAACGAAAGCGCACAACGGGCGATATGAACTCGACAACTCCCGTATACGACCAGTCGCTAGATGGAGGCATTGTCGAGAGCAGAGAGCCGATACGACCAACACCAGCCACTGCAAGGAGAGATTTCATCCAGTATGGGCCGGACTTCTAGGAGCCATTCTCATCGTGGAGAGTCTGAATCCAAATTCTCGTCCCATGTACACATCAACGGAAAGATTGTTCGACTGGCTCGGGTTGAATAGGTCGAATGAGCATGAAGCACAAGAAGACCATACAAAGTCAAATTCGTTCCACCATTGTTTGTCCGGGCTCCCTCACTGCGCCTACTGCGATGAGCATATAATACCGGTCGACAATGGGGCGAGAAGTATTCGCGATGGACGCGAATCAGATGAATCGGTGGCTAAGGATGCTAGCGAAGGACATGAAGCGGCCACTCCAATCGACAAGGCAGGCTCGGGGCTCCCTAGTTTATCTACCATTCGTCTTAGATGGGTTTATTGGCCAACTTCAGAAGACTAGAAAACGAGCTGTTTGTGTCAAATGATCGATAAATTCACGTAAAAATCCATGAATTAAGAAGCCATAAGTGTTAAATTGTAGGTTGGTGCCGCAGAAAACTGATGGGACAGCCTGGACTAAATACCGTACAAAATCTTATACAAAGGGGTCCGAGATGACCCATATGGCGTTTTATCTATTTGACACACCCCCTCTAGAGTTGAACTAAGCGTAGCGAGTGAGACTCCAGAATAGGAAATGTTGATACGCCGTGAAAGAGTGACTGTTTAATACTCTCTAGAAAATAACATCTTTGCGGGCGCTTTTAGACACCGTTGCACATTGTTTAACACGGTCCAATAATGCGCATATTTGACAAACTTCGCGACAGTCGCGCCATCGTTCTGTGTACTAACACTAGCTGCTATGCTGTTGCCTGATCTTAGTTATCTCTATATGACACCAATTCTGTATATGTCCTGAGCTCTTCGCAAAAGGATGATCCAGGTCAAGACCTTCTTTCTATCTTTCAATGTACTCCTCTATTAGCCCTGTCGTCTTCACCTTTTCTTTCCACGTGAACGAAAGGGTCCAGATATAGGATCTATCATAGTTGATCCGTTCCATGATACACAGCCACAAATCAAGAACAGCGTGGACATCATCCATCCAAGTGGGCCGATTTGATTGGGGGGTGGACCAGAAATGGTCCCTACTAAGTTCAAATATATCCATCGATAGAATGCTAAACGCGTTTAACAATTTTCTTTGCCGTGAACAAGTAACAGTGTAATAGAAAGATGCGTTAGAGCAATGTTGATCGTGATTATTAGAGAGTGTTATGCCGAGAGAAACTCTTAGAACACATTTATAAGTAAACAGAAAGAATTTATAGGATAATATAGCTAAAGTCCTTTAAGAAAACACCCTGAGAATTAATATACAGCTGTCTGAAGTCCGTCTAAGTCCTAGCCTAAATGATTAATACTATTAAAACTATTTTATATAAATTAGATGAAGATGCTTAAGAGAAGGGTAGAGAGTTCTCTTGAGCTTAATATAAAAAGGTGACAGGACATGCTTTAGTTACAAATCGACCCGCACGTCTTCAGGAGAATAAAATATGCACTGGAATGCTAATAGCATTACTATCACAACATCAGCAAAGAGACAGCGATGACACATCGCCTCCAGGCGTTCTTTGGAGAGTGCCCCGGAACAGGGAACCCCGTTTAGGTCGCGCACACTTGACATTTTCTGGTACCATGTTAGGAAGGTCCTAGAATCGGGATCGCGAGCAAGTCTGAGTGAGGTCATGAGCAGCTTGAGCCAATTAGATTGAGTTTGAGCGGCCATGATCGTGCTTGAAATGACGGCGAGCAAGCATAAGCAGAGCGCGAGTTGAGGTGGTGCAAGTATGAGCCCGGTTGAGCCGGGGTTAATTTTACTGAGTCAATGTGGCTGTATCAATAAGCCGAGTTGGGAAGCGGGCGCGGTCTATTTGTCCTTAATAATTGTGGTAATAATTCAAGAGGAGTACTAAGGACACCAAGAATTAGTTAAGTGGGAAGGCAGTTATTTTGTAGCTACGGGAAGGAGGCGTACTCATCTATTACTAGCAAATTATTTCACTTCTCTGACATGAGTGAGAAGCAAGAATGTGAGGGAGGGGGCCTCGTTTTCGGGGCCCCAAGCCTGAGCAGTATGATCACAGGGAATGTGCGTCTAATATAGACTATAGTAATAAGTGGTTTCAAAAATTAAAGGAAGGGTTCATACATGATTTATAGAATAAGCTAAGAAATAAAAATTACAGGTCGCGTAAGCGGTTGAATAAAGTCGATGTTGTCGCAAGTGCGGTATGAGTTTGTATCGACAAGACATCTTCCGCTGAGCTGAGCGAAGCAATCAACAGCATGTTTCGATGGTATAAAGACGCAACACTTTGCTATGCCTATCTCGACGATGTCAGCGTGTACGACGCCAGATCAGACGACTGGTTTAGTAACGATGAGCTAGCCAAGTCGCGATGGTTCACTCGCGGTTGGACACTACAAGAATTGATAGCACCAAAGAACATCGTGTTTTATGGCAAAGATTGGATATCTGTCGGCCAGAAGGCCTTATGTTGCGCGAAACAGGAACGCATAACTGGTATTAGCGCAAATGTGCTTGCGGGTACAGACGCCGTAGAGGATCAGAGTATCGCAAAGCGTATGAGCTGGATGTCCGGACGCACGACGACACGAACAGAAGACATGGCATATTCTCTCATGGGTATCTTTGACATCAACATGCCGCTGTTGTATGGTGAAGGAAATAAGGCTTTCGTTCGGCTACAGGAAGAGATCATGAAAGACTCCGCAGATCACAGCCTCTTCGCATGGAACGAGGAAGACCCCGTGGACGACGTCCTTACCCTTGAATGGCCCAGTTCGGTATTTGCAGCTCATCCTGGGCAGTTCAGAGATTCAAGGGAAATAGTCAATCGCAGATTTGACGACAAGGATAGGCTAGACGAGGAATTCTCAAGTACAAACCGTGGCGTTAAGATCAAGCTCCGCATCCGAGAGCCCACCAATGATTCTTCACATGCATTAGCACTCGGGTATGACCGTTTCCTGGCTGTGCTCGACTGCTGCTTTGAAGATCCGAAGTTTGAGAATTGCTGGCCTGGTATCACACTCAGACGGCTCACAGGGTCCAAGTCACAGTATGTGCGCCTCCCCTGTTATCCCATTGTTCCTGTTATCTTTGGCCAGGTCAGCGACGCCCAGAAGTTATTAGGAGTCGTGTCTGTTGGCGAGACTGACAGCGGAGAGTGGATCTATCTCCGTAAGAAAATTCCAGACTGGGCTTTTCAAGACCTTCTTTAATCAAAACGCAAAGCTGGAAAAGCTACATCAAGGACATAGCATTCAGCTCGGACGTGATAGCCAGCAGGTTTCGAATGACATCGTCAAAAGATATGTCGATAATGCAATTGCAGACAAAACGTAGCTAGTCAACTCCAAAAATGCCTACACAACACCCCCATGGTATCTCTCGCTTTAAGACGTCCTAAAACAACAAAGATCTAATGTACAAAAACCCAGACACTGTAACTAACCAAACGCCATGCTAATCGTAACATCATGAGGCCTAAGCATCGCTACACTTACATTCGACTAACCTGCACCGGTACTCCCGGATGCATGTTGAGCAAGTACTGTGGACCCGGCATCGTCCCGCCACCATAGTGCGTGCGACTTTGGTTCCTCTGATGCTGCTGCGGTTGTGTTTGGCCATCCGCACCAAACTCCCCACTTCCACTTTGACTTGCACCATACCCATATGGCAAATTCCCATATCCAGGCACCTCCTCCATCTTACCCAGCATAACCATCTCATCGCTCTCTTCTCCCGAGCCGCGATTTTGTCGTTTTGCAGCGCGTGAGTACGCAGATCCACGTTTCCGAATGCACGACTGCAGTATGAAGATGAACACGCAAACGGCGATGGATACAGCGGTGTAGACGAGGATTATCGGGCGGGTCTGGTCAGAGAGATGGAGACCCAGGCCGCCAGTTAGGACGAGCAGGAGAAAAGAGGTCGAAACGAGTGGTGTGTGGACAGCCTTTTGGAGGCGGGGGAGGTAGGGCTTCAGAGATGGGAGGGCACTGGTTAAGAGGAGAGGGAGGAGACATGTGAATGCGAGGATTTGGTGAGGTGTGTTGAAAGCTTTTGACTTTGGGTTGCGTTAGTATGGAGATGCTAATCTTGATGGTCACAGAGAACTTACGCGGTTGTACTCTGCACTGGTGATCCCACCCAATGTGTAGCTCACGATCAGGAAGATCATGATGATGACGCTGAGTATAACGTGTACCTTGATGTTCTTGAACAAGCACACGATGAGCATGTTGAGCGGCCAGAGTATAAAAAGCGCGAGACATCCGATTACAGCGTGTGCAAGATTCGCTCTATCATGGTCTCTTGTCATCTCACCCACCATGCTCACACCATTTAGCGCATTGCTCTTAACTGGCACACCGCCCGCACCTGTTGCCGCCGTCATGTCCATGGTGAAGTGACCAAAGCGGATATGTCGTTTGAGGTTCGCAGAGGGCGAGTTGGATTGCAGGTTTTGTGCTTGACCAAAGGCGAAAATCATCGGGTGGGTTGTCGCTTCAGTGTCGATGAAGGAACGACAGTTACCACACCGCGCTCTCAAGATGAGCATATCGTCGTCGATCCGGGTTCCTGGGAGGACAGTAAGAGATATCGAGGAGTTAAATGTTGGCTCGGAAGTCTTGGAGCCGATGCGCGGTGAAATTGTTACGTCTGGTGCCTGTTAATATCCATCTTGCGACTTGACTTGACGTCAGTATGGAGTAGTGCGTACTATCACTCTTCGCATTGGGGTACATGATGAACATCAGACTTCCTTCCATCTTCTCACCGAGTCCAACGCCAACCCACGAATATGCCGGACTAGCATAGTAGATAAAGATGTCGTCCGAGTCATCTGCGATGTTGATTGAGAATTGAGTTTCCGTTCGATCCAGGTAGAAGGTTGATGCGGTTGTGGCGTTTGTTGTTGTGTTTTGACATGATATGAGCGCTGGGAAGACTGAGAGATAAGTTAGCAACACGCGTTGACAGACCCGCAATTGTATTGCAGCTGAGGCTACTTGAACAACGACTTACAGGCTAGCAACGCAATCACTGCGCCAAACATTTGCTTCACATCCATCATCGCAAACACAAGATCAGTACCTGGCAATCCTCAAAAGCGCGCAAAGATCGACAGGACACTTCAGTTCCAAAGTAAACCAAAGAAAAACAAAGAGGGAAGGTAACAACAGCTCCAGCTCCAGTTTCAAAGTATCACAGCATAAACAACTAGCCCCAACGCCTCCCTTCGGGACCTTATACTCTGCGTACAAACGTCACTCAACCACGCCATACCGCATGCTACCCCATCGCTCACATGAAACAGCCAAAAAAGCGACCCCATCACCGCATCCAACCACTCGCCTTGCGGCAAAGTCAACTTAAAATGTCTTATCTTGAAAAGTACCTATGGGCACTGAGCCAGTCAGCGGGGCGAGACCAAGTGAGATTGAGCATGTGGAGTGGGCGCTTAGGGAGATGGCGCGCTCGCGACAGGGGTTTCATCGTGTTTGCGTGTCGTGTAACAGTCGTGGAAGCGCCCGTAAAGACAGGGGGGACGTGCCAAGCGGGGTAATCGGCGTCGTTAGTATTTTTAGTACACAGGCGCTTTCGTGCTGTATATAGGACACAATGAGAGACAGATGGATACTTGGAGATACATTGCATAATGTTGAATTCGGATGTCGCAGAGAAGCGATTACAATGGTGGTGGGTTGAAAGGGCAAGGGTTTCAATGAACTTGTGGTCTGACCTCGTGTACGTCCTTGCTTTTGCTGCATGCACACTGCCATCACTAAAAGCAGTTTTCTTCAACCCCACAGCACACCAGAATAGAGTTTATCGATAGTTTGCAAGTATCAGATCACACGGTGAACGCCAATGAACTCATAAATTTGATTGGGAACAGCAGAGAAAAGAGAATTATGTACCTCCCCAACACCTGCCACTTTGATCAATTCCCACATCCGAACAAGCATCAAAGAAAAACCGCAAAAACCACCTCTTCCTCACTCGCTCCGGGTATGCTAGTCATAATCGTCATATTCGTTAGTGCTACAGGCCGTATCCTCGTTGCAAGTCGTAGAGATCTTGTGAGTCGGTTCGTGTCATGTTGAGACTTTCTCCGACAAGCGCGCTGGAAGCCCGTGAGCGTTGGTCGGGGATGCAAAGACGCATCAGAACATGCTGGTCGAACCGAAAAATCTGCCCAACGAGATGTAATGATGCGGGTTGTCGCAGGCTCGATGATGATGCAAGACTTCTCTGAAGGGCTCTCGAGTCCAACCCGCAGGTCCGGCATCAAATGAAAACTGTACGAAGATTCTTGTTCACATCCAGAATCTAACGGTATCGGCTGCGACGGCTGTCGAACGATACCTCGTGTTCGTAGAAGCGGTCGTCGTAGGCTGACGCTGGGCGAGAATCGTGAATTGATTTGCGCTCAATCTCAATCTCCCGGATGCGACTCTTGCGCTTGCGACGGATCTCATCAGAAATCTCGACGAGATGCAACACATCCTCCTGGGTGGGGGTCAGCACACTGCATATCGCGAGTATGGTCATAAACTTACGTATCGCAGGTATTCCATGACGTAGAAGAAGTCGTCGGTCTCCTCGCACGAATAGCCCATTGAGTCGATGGCTTCACGGATCACCAGGTCCTTTGTGATCTCGGTCCACATGTCCTTCTTCTTTTGTTTCACCGATCCCTGGTTGTAAATGTCAGTGGTATGTTCGTCGTCACCGCTGATGAACTTTGATCTGCGAACGCCATTGTAGCGCTGCCAGGTGATCTCTTGGGCAGCACCACCGATGCCATCCATGCGCACGCGACTGGTGCCGGGCGGCACGTCGATGATGGACCAGTCTTTGGTTACTCCATTCCAAGCTTCACCCGGGTAGGCGCGCTCAAGTGCTTTGCGATTGTAGAAATCGGCTTCCAAATCAAAGTCCGAATCGGGCATAGGGGCTGTGTGCACACGCCTTGGGGGACTAAACGACCGCTCGCGGTGACGTACCTGGTCGCGGTTGAAGTTGATATCAATATCGAGCTCCTCGAAGTTGCTCCTGCCACGTCCACGGCTGTGGCTCCTGGGGATTTGTCAGATTGCGTTGTGTAGATGGCATCTAAAGTGGGTACTCACTCTCGTCGGTTGATCTCGATCTCGAGGGTCTCGTTGATTGGAGGGGGAGGAGACGGTGGCGCAGGTGGGGGAGGGGGTGTTGGCGAACGCGCCCTGACGACACCTGTACGACTGTCAGTATTGGATGTAGATGCTTTTAGCCAGACCACTCACCATGGTCAATGTGTCTGTGATGTGTGATGATCTCCTGGATGATGGGAGGGCGGATCTCTGGCTCAGGGGCTGGCGGTGGTGGTGGGGGAGGCGGGGATGGGGAGGGAGAGGGAGTGGGTGCTCGCTCCTCCTTGCGTCTGATGATGATTTCGTCTCTTATGACTTCTCGGTTGTTCGCAGGTGGAGACTCGGCGCGTGGGCGACGGATGACAAACTCCTCGCGCTCCCTAGCGACCAGGTCGCCGCGGTTGCGTGCTGGGGGAGGAAGACTCCTCTCGCGACCTCTAATAGTCAAGGAGCTCCTCTCTCTGCTTGTGTCCCTGCCATCGCGGCTGAACTCTCGGCGGTTGGCGCGAATCTCAAAGTTGCCGTCACGCTCCTGGAAGCGGATGGAGCCTCGCTCAGCAGAGACGTCCCTGCCGTGGCGGCTGACTTCGCTGCGAGAAGCGTGGAAGTCGATGTCGTTTCCACCGCGGCCCCGGAAGCGCACGTCGTCGTCATCCACCTGACGCGGGGCAGGTCGGCTGACGGACCTGACTGGGGGACCATCACCACGGCGGAAGACAATGTCGTCGCGCTCGGGCGGGCCTCGAGACTGCTCGCGGCGCTTGATTGTAATGTCTGTCTCGTCGATTTCGTCCCGGCCGCGGCGTGTTGGAGCCTCGCTATGGCGGATGCTGATGTCGTCACGCTCCATGCCCCGCATAGCAGACGGCGGAGGCGGGGGACGGCTTCGAGTTGAGCGCACATCATCGTCGAAACCACCACGGCTGCTGCGGGGTCCTGCTCGGGAGAAGTTGTCCTCGTCACGGCCTCTCAGCACCATGGGCCCGGCAGTCGGGCGGTTGTAGTCCTCGCGGAAGAAGTCGGGGGCGCTGCGACGGGGGTCAGGGCCTGCGCCACGCCGCAGCTCGAGGTCGAGCTCCTCATAGTTGCGCTCGCTGCGGTTTCCATTGCGGTAGAAATCGCGCTCACGCTCCTCGTACAGCTCAGCGGTTGGGTAGCGTCGCGACATTTGTGCGGCTAAGCGACAAGTGAGCGACGACGGGGGGGAATGGTAGTGGGGTGATGGGCCGCTCTCAGGAGACAGCAGATGGGGTGGAAGAAAGGGCACGGGCAAAGTACACGAAGAGGAAAGAAGAAGGGTTATCAAGGTAGCGAAGAATGAACTTGTGCCGTGGCCTGACGTTATCGAGAAGGCTGGCCCAGTTGACTCCCCGGCGAGAGTAGTGGGGTTGGTAGCAGGACCAAGGTCGGGCGCTGTCTCGCTCTTTTGCAATGACGTAACCTTCACGCTGCACTAAACCACCCACCCTGATCACCAGGATCCTTCCTGCCCAATGGCCGCCAAAGCCCCTGCACCTCTGGCCCAGTTCGCAGAAGCAATCGCCTGCAACCCTACTGCCGGTGAGTTTGACGACTCGATTTGGCTCCAGAGTGGACGTGGCTGGCCAGGCTGCTGGACATCTGTCGTTCTGTCATGTGTCACTGGGCACGCTCAGAACCATCCCCACGAGGCTCTCTGGGGCTGCTTGTGCCAGTCTTACCAGAGTACAGCCCCAGACGCAGACGCGCCGATTAATCCTGGATCTTCGCGACCCCAGGCTGAAACTTACCCAAATTCAAGGTCGGAGTCAGGTACAGTTCAGGCGGCCACATGGAGTCGCTACCTGATCGAACGACAGCCGCGGGAGCGCTATTACTACGGAACTTGGACCCAGCTGGGGCAGCCTGATCGGCGCACTCGACACTCTGTCGTTGGTGAATCTCATCAGATCTTCATGCCCAACACCGTGTGCGACGGCGCGAGACGACCCGCTCGTACCACATTGCAAATCTTCTTGTCTCGGCATCAGCTTTTTCTCGTGGATATCCCTTCAGTATGTAAACATCTCACGCGCAGCATCAAAACCTTCGGCTTGTGACTTGATTCTCGTGCTGGCTGCCCCTGGTAAGGTCCGTCTCTTGCCCAGCACCCCATGCAAGATGACGTTGTTCGGGCATACTACCTTGGACTGCAATTTCCCCAGCAAGCGATGGCATTCGAAGACATTCTGGTCATAGCCAATAAGCAAAAATTAATCTGCAAGACTTACAAGGCAGTATTCAGTGCCACATCGCGAGAGGTGACGAGCCCAGCGATGCGGACGGGTAGTGCCACGTGGGGCTTTCCTGCAGTATTGCGACAACCCTCCAAAAAAGAAAAGCATTAAAACTTTCGCATATCATCTTCGCATCTTACTGCTTGTTCTATAATGTTCGAAATTTGTAGTAGTTCTTAAAGTCCCACATGCATGTGCGTAGGCTACACTAACAGTTCCCACGTCCAGGCGCCTGGTGCCTAGGTGGTGGCTGCCACGAGACAGTTATGCTAAGAACACGAGCTTCCACCCATCAAAAACCCGACGCCTTCTGACTTCTTATCACTACCACCCCCTCATGGGGCGATTAAAAGTTCTTCATGTTGATCTGCGCTTTGGATTTATTACCCATATACGGCCGTCTCCTCTACGCCATTCCTCAGAAGTGCCACAGCAGAGTCCGTTGGTTCACCCTTTCTCTCCATCTGCTACGACTTTTGCATATCAAGTTCAAGCCCATATGCTTATTCACAGTATTCGATATTTCTAGCAACTATGGCAGATACAATCACGTTGCTGGAAGGCAAAAACACATAGGATATTAGCAACTGAGTGTTAGGCTCAAGCACGCAGAGATCTTGAACAAGGTGCAATGTCGAGCCTTGCTTGTCTCGCCATTCTCGTCGCAGCTCAAAGCTTCGATGTCTCACCTCCAGTCTCATTCCATTTCAGTTCATCTAATTCTTCAAATTGTTCCCATTGCTTTACCCAGTCGTACAAAGCTAGTCCTTATCTTATTGGTGGCATCACCTCTACAGTAACATTTAATTGTCTTTATCACATTTCACAATCCTGCTTGTCTCAACTTGTGCGCGTCGTAGTAATTGCTTGATTAGTCGAGTGATCCGTTTGCCGTGGCTAGACCACTCCTTCCTCACGGTGACTGTGTGTTTACAACTCACCGCGCGAACTTCACTTCGCGAACTTCACCTCGCGAGCCACGACGAAAATTCTTTCTGTGTTCTCTCATCTCCCATCGCTACTTGTCTCAGCACATATCACTTCTAAACGTCAGATACAATCGCAAGACAAACATGGCGCGAGGCCCTCGCAACAAAGCAAACCGGGCCAACAAGCGGGCAGGCGCCAGCACGGCTTCCCACAGAGGCTCACAAGCACCACCATTCAACAATACATATGAGAGCCTAGAACAGCTGGATTGTGAATGTAAGTCTTGTCCTGTGTCTCGCATCAGCCCATGATATCTCGCCGTAGCAAAGAAGTCTCGTATTCCTTGCCTATGGAGCTGCAGAGCTTCTATCTTCACTTGGATTAGTAGGAATCGTTATGAAAATGGCTAACCTTTTGGCAGATGGAGAACTGAATGCCAGTCTTACAGAGCGTTTCCGCAGCATGCCCTTCAACGCCTCCAGGAATGTCTCTGTTCCGCACGATGATATCCCCATGTCTGAACCATTCCGCGCCAACAACGACATCCGAGAGTACTTCGAACTAGCTAAGAAACCTGTCACTGGAGGGGCATGGCTGCATATGCCAGAGATCCCGAACCCTTCGGAGGTTCTGTGTGAAAAATCCGAATCTAATGACGAGGCGCTCATTGAGGTTGACGAGAGAATTCGTCCACACAAGCCCAAAGGTGCATACGACGACAATGAAGACTATTTGAGGACCAAGTACGAGCTTCTACGTGAAGATGCTGTTCGACCGCTCCGTGAAGCTATCGACGAGGTTCGTGCCGATCCGTTCAAGAATGAAGCAGAGTACAGGAATCAGAGCATCGGAGTCTATGATCCAGTTTATATCACGTCACTCGTATTTTCGCCGCGAGGCTTAGCAACGCGGGTCGCCTTCTTCCTCAGCCGGGTCAAGAAGTACATCCGGTAAGCCGAGGTGTAGATGCAGATTTGACTCTAACTAACGAACCTAGATGGGAGCAGTCGAAGAGGCTGATCACTGGCACTCTTGTTGCCTTATCCCCTACCGATGATGCATTCCAGACCCAATGTGTGCTCGCTATAGTTGCGGCTCGTCCTCTCTCCGCACTAGAGCAGAACCCACCTGAGATTGATCTCTTCTTCGCGCGTCCAGAGGACCAGGAAATAGATCCTATGCGCAAGTGGATTATGGTAGAGTGTCGAAGCAGCTTTTTCGAAGCATCTAAACATACGCTGCTCGCTCTCCAACACTTGATGAGGGAGCCATTTCCGATGTCCAAGTACCTGGTCCACGTCCAGAAAGAGGTAGACCCTCCGGCCTACATCAAACATAACCCTTACGTCAATCTGAGCTCACTCGTAAGTATCGAGGAGGGTAGAGATTACGAGAATGTGAATGTACTGGAGGATTGGCCCACAACTTCCTCGCACTCGCTCGACAACTCTCAGAGCAGGGCATTGAAACGTATACTAACAAGCGAATTGGCCATTATACAAGGACCTCCAGGAACGGGAAAGACGTTTGTGTCTGTTGTCGCGCTCCAAATTGCCTGCAACAATTTGCGCAAAGAGGATGCGCCTATCATTGTTACAGCTCAGACCAACCACGCTCTTGATCAATTGCTCCGCCATACGTCACAATTTGAACCCAATTACATTCGCTTGGGAGGCAGAAGCAAGGACAAGGAAATCAAGAAACGAACTTTATTCGAAGTTCGCTCAGAACTACCTCGGCAAAAGCAGCCTGGCAGTCAGAAGGCGCAAGCCACTATTGCGATAAGGAAGTTGACTACTCAGCTTCAGGTTCTGCTTGCGCCTCTTGAAGTCAACAAAGTGCCGCTTGATCACAAGCTCCTACGAAGTCTTGGACTGATCACCCGGGATCAAGCCGAATCACTGGAGATGGAATCGCAATGCACGATGGGGGTTTCACCCTCTGATAGTCCAGGGATTCTAATGGAACAGTGGCTGGGTAGATGTCTCGCTCCATGTGATCGGCCAATCGGTCCAGAACAGTTCGACTGGGGATATGAAGAAGACGACTTCGAGGTCGAACAACTGAAAGAGCTTGAGGCTGAAGCCGTGGCTCAGGATGACGATGATATTGAGGCATTACCCGGACCACTGATCCAACTCAGTGACAACTGGAAGGGTACAGGAAATCTGCTGAGCAACGCCGACATCCAAGATATCTTACGAAAAACGGATGACTTGACGACAATTCGTGTCGCCGATCGCGGTACGATCTACAACTACTTCAAACGCGAAGCCAAGAAACTCATTGTTATCGAAATTCGCAAGCTCGCGAAACTTTATCAAGAAGCAGTTGTGCAGCGCAAGGTGGGTATGTGGGAAGAAGATGTACGTGTTCTCAGCAAGGCACGCATCATCGGCTGCACAACGACCGGTCTCGCAAAGTATCGTGCTCTACTCTGCGCTCTCCGACCTCGGATTTGTGTTGTAGAAGAAGCAGCAGAAACACTCGAGGCTCCTGTCACCGCTGCTTGTTTCCCTAGTCTCGAGCACCTCGTCTTGGTCGGTGATCACCAACAGCTGCGCCCTCACACCCAGGTGCGTGCCTTTGAAGACAAACCATACTTCCTGAATTTGTCACTCTTCGAGCGTTTAGTCTGTAATGACGTCGCCTTCGATACGCTTACCCGACAACGTCGTATGATACCTGAGATACGACGACTGTTATATCCCATCTATCAGGACACACTCAAGGACCACAAGAGTGTAAAGGATCTTAGTAACCGCCCGCCAGTCGAAGGCATGGGTGGGAACAACAGTTTCTTCTTTTGTCACGACTGGCAAGAGACCCGCGATACTTACATGTCGGCGCTGAACCCAATGGAAGCACATATGATAGTCCAATTTTTCGACTACTTGGTTCTGAACGGTGTCGATGCTACCAAGATTACGGTATTGACCTTCTACAACGGTCAGCGCAAGGAGATCATGCGGAGGCTCCGGGCGCATCCGAATCTACGTGGCGGAGTGCACGATATCCAGGTAGTAACCGTGGACAGCTACCAAGGCGAGGAGAACGATATCGTCCTACTTTCTTTGGTACGATCAAACCACAAACATTCCATTGGGTTCCTGAACTCCGAGAACCGCGCCTGTGTCGCCCTTTCCCGAGCCAAACGAGGCTTCTACATCTTCGGAAATGCAGAGCTTCTTGCGTGCGAAAGCGGTACTTGGGCTTCAGTCATTGAGATAATGTGGAGGAATAAGAAGGTCAGGGTGACGATAGGCCAAGAGCGGCGGATAGGTTATCAGTTCCCGCTCGAGTGCAGCAACCATGGACGCAGGATATGGTGCGAAGTGCCCGAAGACTTCGAACTTATCAAGGGTGGATGTGACATCAAGTGCCAAGGGTCGTTGCCATGCGGACATCGCTGCCCATACCCATGTAAGCGTACCAATATACGAACTATATGGGAGACGGATACTAAATCGCTTACTAGGCCATTCCTTTGAACATCACAGGATCAACTGCACGCAGAAATGCTCCAGGCGCCTTGAGACTTGTGGTCATCCTTGTATCGGTACGTGTTGCCTTCAAATGCAAGCAAGACCCCTTACTGACAATCTTTAGCGGAGTGTTGCGACCCGTGCAAGTGTCATATGTGCGACCGTCGCAGTGGTGGCGTCAAATCGACTTTGAAACCAGTAAACGGGGCGGCACCGTTTCGCGGAGCCCGACCAAACACGCAAAGCTTGATGCTCGAAGACACGTTACCCGGCCCTGGATCCTCTAAACGTGGTGTCCAGACCTATGCGCCCACTCAACGCATGACGACCCCGGGTCTATCAGATTGCACTACGGTACAGTGGGATGTCTACGCTAATGGCGGTGGTGTACAGGAAGACGATGCACGTGCATACGCGAAGATGCAGGTGGAAGCCCTATACTATGCACATCGAACATCTACTCCTGGGACCGAGACTACAGGCGGCAAGCTGATTGAGCTGTTGCCAGAAAAGGACGCAACTGTTTCCAAAAACACGGGCTTGCTTCTTGATCTTGACGTCGAACCATTGGTCCCAGAGAGTCATCCCCAAACGCCGCGGTCATATGCAAATGCTGCGAAGCCCTACGTCAACCTTTTAGATTGAATGACTATACGCAACAATGGAGTTTTGGCGTGATCAGTGCGTTCGTGCTTGAAGTGTACCGGTGGATAGTTATGTGCAATCATATCGACGTGAACTAGGAGAACATGCATCGATACAGGGCATTGGTAGAAGGTATGCATAGCAACTCTAGCGCAAAGGACTCGTGTCCGGGGTATATCACTAAATCTTCAGATCGCTCAACATCTTTGCCATGCTCAATCTTTCCTGTCCCCATCCATCTGGACCTCGAACACTTCGCCAGCCAGCTTTGCGACATCACCACCAAGCCCCGCAAGTCCGGCCTTGATACTTTCAATCGTCTGCGACGTCAAGTTGCCTTTCCGCGAGTAGAAGTCTACACCCGCAGGGGTAAACAACGTCTTTGCAAAGTACGTCACGACCCAACTGTTGTCAGTGCCCTCCTCGTCGCCATAGCCTAGTATCTCCCATTTGCTCGTCGCAATCACCAACCACCCCTTGCCACGCCAGTTGTAGCCGAGACTCGCCACTTCTCCGCCCTCTGTACCTGACGCTGAGGCTGTATTTGGTACATCAAACGGCTTGTCAACTCCATGCACAGTCTTGATCTTCTCGGCGCCCAGAGATTGGTACGTGACTACGTCGTCGATCTGAGCGGGCTGTGTGGAGGGAATGGCAGTGTATGTGATGCGCACGTTGCGCGATTTCTTCCACATGGGCAGCGTGGAGTGGGTTACATTCCAGGAGCCTGAAAGCCATGACAGGGCGGGTGGTGCGAGCGAGGGGGAGGGTTCGGTGGACGGCAGAGACGATGGAGCGCGGAGGGTTACCATGGTGAGGTGACTTTGTTTGGTGGGGTGAGGGCGGTTGGTGATTGGCGATGTATGTGTGGAGATGGACGCGTGGAATCTGGAGAGATTTTTGTGGGTATTAGATGATGATGACGATTGACAATTGTTGACGGTGGGCGTTGATGAGGTTGGACGGACAACGAATTTTCGACGTGGCTGGGGGAGCGGTCTGACGTTTGTCAAGAGAGTCGCGAAGCTGTCGCGATGTCAGTCGTCTGGAGACGAGTACTTCGAAGCTACTATATGCTTCATATTTGCTTTTGATCAGCTGTAGATCCCATCTACACTTAACACATCATCATTTCCATCACCACCGCGTCTCTCATCAGCACTCGATAACGCGACAGGGCTAACAGATCGACGCTACCGGGAGCCAACGCAGCCGGGGGCATGTGCCAAGCCACCAGCCGTATCCCGCCACTCCAACAATAGATCGTCCTACCTACTTCCGAACTTCGCCTCAGCACCCCAGGGTTCATCAAAAATCGAATAACCTGACATCACCTTTCCCGCCTGCCCGCCTCCGACGCGTAACGCCCTGTCCATGGCCAGCGAAATTCGACTGTCTGTCCCACCATCTGCGGTCTTCCTAGAAGCCGATGTCGCCAGTTAATGCATCGTAACCCATGTTTCGACTGCGTCGCGGCGGCTCTCGGTTGGCCGGGGGCTGACGAGGCCTGAAACTCTTGCACCAGTTTGTCCACGTCGCTTCGTGGGCTGTGCAGTGAGTACGAGAACACCGTTTGCGAAGTGCTTGCCAGGCTCCACTCTTTGTGGCAGTTTGATGGTTGGTAGCGCGCCACTTTTTTCCTACGCCCAGTCACCACCTGTTTCCATGATTACCGTATACAGGCTTGGGTGGCTAGGCTGAGACGACTGCTGCGTAATAGTATAATAGCATTGTGATCCCCAGTCTTGATGATGGTAGAGTAACTACTTTTGCTTTTTCCAACGGGTTTACATCATTGAACGACGTTGTTCCTTTAACATTGTTTGGGGATATTGCATAGATTGCTTGATTGTTCTCCAGTACACGGCTTACGACCTCTATTTGACGACGACCACGACCACGGAAAAGCGCTGCTAAGCTCACTGTTCGAGAGGAACTATCCTACAAACTCAACGCACACGTCAACATGTTTTCAAGAAGCATACTACTCCAAGCTTCGGCTCTTTTGCCCTTGCTATACGCACCCGCCTCCGCACAAAACGCTTGCAACAACTCGCCCGACCTATGTACCCGCCCATACAACAACATCACATACCTGGGTGCGCACAATTCTCCATTCCTAAGGAATAAAGAGACATCGTTCTCCACATCTGGAAACCACTACTACAACACCACAACACAACTCGATGCTGGCGTGCGCCTTCTCTCAGGTCAAGTTCACAAAGCCAACGGCACTGGCAACGATGCATGGCATCTCTGCCATAGCAGCTGCGACCTGCTCGACGCTGGAACGCTGGAAAACTGGCTCAGTGAAATAAAAACCTGGATGGACGCCAACACAAACGACGTCGTAACCCTCCTCCTCGTAAACTCCGACAACGCCTCCCCCGCAGACCTCGGCGGAGTCTTTTCCTCGTCAGGACTCGACAAAATCGCCTACTCGCCCCCAAGTTTGACAACCACACCGCAAACATGGCCCACGCTTGACACTCTAATCGGCAACAACACCCGCTTGATGTCTTTCGTCGCCAGCCTCTCGAACCCCTCGTCAGACTACCCATACCTTATGGACGAATTCGTGTACATGTTCGAAAACGACTATGAAAACGTCTCCCCTTCAAACTACTCCTGCAACCCATCGCGCCCGGAAGCCGTTGCTGGAAACCCCTCTACAGCTCTAGAGTCTGGTCGCATGTTCCTGCAAAACCACTTCTTGTACGAGACTCAGCTCTTTGGTATCCAATCTCCCAATGAGACCTATGCCAATGTCACCAATGCGGAGACCGGCTTTGGAAGCTTAGGCGAATCGATACAGGAGTGCGAGGGTATCTACGGAAAGCCGGCCAGTTTCGTCATGGTAGACTTCTTCAACGTCGGACCTGCGATTGCGAGTGTAGATCGCGCCAACGGCGTGAGTGGCGCACAGGGCAGAAAGAGTCTTAGCACAGAGGCGTTGGTGCAAAGTACTGGTGCTGGAGTCAGAGAGAGGGGAAGCTTACTTGCTGTGGTTTTGGCAGTCGGTGTCGCTGTTTTCTTTGGAGCGTAATAAGTGACAAGAGAGATTAGTATTAGAACTTGCGGCAACTTTGGTTATTTGCATGGCGATGGCGTTTAGGTCTTTGGAACTCCTAGATTTTGGATGTTCGGATTAGGATATACTGGATGAACGAACAAAAGACGCGGCGCGTTTTCGCGCTTCGCTACGTCTGGATATGTAGCTTAAGTAGAGATAGATATGACGTTACGATGAAAGACGATCTCATCAATCAAGCAACTCGATTACTCTTCAATAGGTCTATTGCTTCATCATGCATACTCAACTACTCTTGGAAAGGCGTGAATTCCTCCAACACACTCTCAGCCTCCTTCAGATCATCCATCAGTACTCGCTTGTGCGCCTCACTCCTAACTCTGATTTCACATTCAAACTTCCGAGGCCGTATGTTGAAGCCCTCGGTATAGGCAAAAGTATCATACTTCACCCCTGCTTTGGGCTGAATATCAAAGGCCCACAGAATCTTCGCTAGCGCAATGTACAGACTATTCTCCGCAAGACTGGCACCAGGGCAGATGCGCCTTCCCCAGCCAAACGACGAGTGACCTGATTTTGCTGGATGGGGTTTGCCCGTGAGCGGTGTTGGTGCTTTGGAGCGTTCCACAAGCGCCTCATCGAGGAAGCGTGTGGGATCGAAGTGGTGTGGATTCGGATAGTACTCCTCGTTGAGGTTTATAGCCCATGAGTTTCCTAGAACAGTGGTGCCAGAAGGAATATAGTATCCTTCGTAACGATCATCCTCTGTGGAGGCGTGAGGTGTACCTCCGAGAACGGCAACAGGACGCCAGCGAAGAACTTCCTTTACCAGAGCGCGAATATATGGCAGGTTCGTTTCGTCTTCAAACGTAGGACTGCGGCCAGTGCCGATGATGGTGTCTAATTCGCGATGGGCGGCGTGTAGGGTCTCGGGATGCGTGACCAACGCTAGGAAGGCAGTGCAGAGCGTCGAGGCCGTAGTATCAGACCCAGCGCCGAAAAGCGATGCTGGGATGTAGGAGAAATTGCGATCCGACAAGGGGATATGCTCCGTCTCTCGCAATTCGAGCAGAAGCTTGCAGAGTGAATCTGGAATATCGCCGCCCTGGGTCTTTGCTCTCGCAAGATCCGAGCGTACGACATCCACCAAGGCCATGTTCGCAGCTGCTTCCTCACGACCACGCGCTTTTATATCAGCCTTCCAAGGCGCCAGAGCATCTGGGACATGCTTCAAGATGGGGAAGGACTCGACGAGGTACTTTCCAGGCACATTCAGCGATGCGGCGACATGCATGAACTTGAAGCGCTGGTGGATGACGTTGGCATTGAGCGAGTCGATGCGGTGTCCGTATGCGACACAGAAAACGATGCTGGAAGTGAATCGTTCGAGGAGTTTCTCCCAGTTGGCCGGGCTGTTGAGGAGCTGCTGGCAAAGCCGCGATGCCTCTGCTGTTTGAACGGGCTTGTACAACCTCAGCGCCCTGGGTGTCAAAGCCTGATGTAGCAGCTTCCTCCGCACACTCCATTCTTTGCCATATGGCTGTACCAGTATACTAGCATTGTCCCACAGTATCTCGCCCATAGCCACTATACGCGGACGCGACGAGTACTTTGTGCTCCGCTTCTCCATCAGCTCGACAGCGATGTTGGGGTCGGATATGATGACAGTAGGCTTGCGGCCGATCCATATCGTGAAGATGGGACCGTATATCTTGGACCATTCCTGGAACTGGATCCAGGGCTTTGATTTTGGGAGTTGAAGTTTGTTGCCGAGAAACGGGAGAGGCGTGGGACCTGGAGGCATTCGGAGCCACACCCAGACATCGTGGAGAAGCGTCGCGAGGGGTACCGCGAGGGCGATAGAAAGCCACAAGTAGGGTGGTAGGTAAAGGAGAGAATCTAGCGCCATGTCAACAAGGGTGCGTAGAGGATAGACGCTGATGCTATCCAGGGCTGTCGAGCACTTGGA